GGCTAGTTGTATATCTTTGTTTAAATGTCTCTTCTTTTGCCCATTTTTAATTGGGTTGTTTATATTTTTATTTCTCCTTAATAGGAGCTGTTTATAAATCATGGGTACAAATCCCTTGTTAACATATCTGTTATAAATATTTTCTCCAGCTGGACACAGTGGCTCACGACTGTAATCCCAGCACTTTGGGAGGCCGAGGCGGGCGGATCACGAGGTCAGGAGATTGAGACCATCCTGGCTAACACGGTGAAACCCCGTCTCTACTAAAAATACAAAAAATTAGCCAGGCGTGGTGGCGGGTGCCTATAGTCCCAGCTACTCGGGAGGCTGAGGCAGGAGAATGGCGTGAACCCAGGAGTTGGAGCTTGCAGGGCGCCAAGATCGGCCACTGCAATCCAGCCTGGGCGACAGAGCGAGACTCTGTCTCAAAAAAAAAAAAAAATTTCCCCAGCCTGTGGCTTGTCTGTTTTCTTAAAGGTTTCTCTTAGTGACAGAATATTCTTCATTTTTAATTTATTGATTTTATGAAATTATATTTTTTATTTTATGGCTAATGTTTTCTCCTGTCCAACAAATCTTTGCCTACCTAATGTTTGCAAAAATAATGTTCTAAACTTTCATCTAGAAGCTTTATGGTTTTGGGTTTTATGCATACATCTAGGATTCATCTCAAATGTTATTGTGTATTTCTTTTTTACAGAAGTCCTGGAGTATTATTAATAGCATCTCATTTCCATTTTACAAATAAAAGGGGGCAATGTTCAGAACTTTAGCTAAGGCCATACTTCTAGGCCTCAAAGTCTAGTCTCATTATAATGAGCACATTTTCTGCATTCTCTAATATATGCCATGAAGCTTTCACTAAGCCCCCATCAAACCCAATGCCCTACAGAGTTTTTTTGAGACAGAGTCTCACCGTCAACCAGACTCTAGTGTGGTGGCAAGATCACAGCTCACTGCAGCCTTGAACTCCTGCACCCAAGCGATCCTCCTGCCTTAGCCAGCCAAACACTGGAATTACAGGTGTGCACCACTGCCGCCAGCCTACACAGATATTTTTATAATACCACCTTTACCACCCTAAAATGAAAATCCTAGGAAATATAAACTACCTACATATATACATTTCTAAAAATCAATAAATCACCTAGCTTAATATGGAAAAAGTCCTAAAAATAATGTAATTTATAATAAAAACGATATATTATTTCAGTATATACAGGCTTGAGCACGACTGTAATATAACACACAGGGTGTAAAATGCTTGATCCTATGCAGAATCACTATGAATGTGACAACTACATTGCAAATGGATTCAAGTGTGTTATGCTGGTTACTCAAATAACAGTTGGAAATTTTTTTTTTTTAATTTTTCAATTTTTGTGGGCACATAGTAGGTGTATATATGTATGGAATAAATGAAATATTTTGATACAGGCATAAAATGCATCACATCAGGGTAAACAGGGTTTTGTTTTTGTTTGTTTTTTGAGGTCTTGCTATGTTGCTGAGGTTGGTCTCAAATGCCTGGGCTCACTTGATCCTCCTTCCTCAGCCTCCTAGCTAACAGATGGAAATTCTGTCAACAATGTGGGGTGAGTTAGAAATTCAAAAAAAATTTTTTGGTACCAAAGAATTGTTGAGCAATTGTTTATTTGCTTTACTGAGCACACCTCTCATCCATTGTTAGTGGCAGGAATAACTAAACATCTGGGAGGTCACAATCTCTATCAAAGCTACCAAGGCACATACTTCTCCTCCTCCTAATTTTTTTTTTTTTTTTTTTTTTTTTTTGAGACACAGTCTTGCTCTGTCACCCAGGCTGGAGTGCAGTGGCGCAATCTCAGCTCATTGCAACCTTCAATTCCCAGGTTTAAGCAATTTCTCCTGCCTCAGCCTCCTGAGTAGCTGGAACTACAGGTGCCCTCCACCATGCCAGCTAATTATTTTTGTACTTTTAGTAGAGGTGGGGTTTCACTGTGTTGACCAGGCTGGTCTCGAACTCCTGACCTCAAATGATCCACCCATCTCGGCCTCCCGAAGTGCTGGGATTACAGGCGTGAGCCACCGTGCCCAACCTGGAATTATCTTATAAATATCTTGCACATGTGCCTAAAGACAAGGATGCTACATATGCAGTTTTGCTTACAACAGAAAAATAAAAGCTATTAAATGTCCACCAATAGGGAACTAATAATGGTCTATTAAGACAATGACACATTGGGCAACGGTGGGGGAAAGATCTTTATTTACTGATACAGAACAATCTGTGAGATGGATTAGTCTTAAAAAAAATGGACAACTGTGTATATTATGCTACCATTTCTTTCAAAAAAGAAAAAAGAAAAAAAAGTAAAAAGAGGGAATCAAGGATTGAGAAAATAAGCCACAGACTGGGAGGAAAATATTTGCAAAAGACCTATCTGATAAAGGTCTGCTATACAAAACATACAAGGAACACTTAAAATTCACCAATAAGAAAATGAGCAATCCGATTAAAAATGGGCAAAACCTCTAACAGATACCTCACCAAAGCTATACAGGTGGCAAACACATGAAAAGATGCTAAAATCATATATTATTGGTGAACTGCAGATTAAAACAATGATTACCACTACATACCTATTCGAATAGTTAAAATCCGACCAGGTGTGGTGGCTCACACCTGTAATCCCAGCACTTTGAGAGGCTGAGGCAGGCAGATCACTTGCGTTCAGGAGTTCGACACCAGCCTGGCCAACATGGTGAAACCCCGCCTCTACAAAAAACACAAAAATTAGCTGGGTATGGTGGCGGGTGCCTATAATCCTGGCTACTTGGGAGGCTGAGGCACGAGAATCACAACCCGGGAGGTGGAGACTGCAATGAGCCGAGATCGTGCCACCACACTCCAGCCTGGGCAACAGAACGAGACTCAGTCTCAAAAAAAAAAAAAAAGGTTAAAATCCAAAACACTAATACCACAAAACGCTGGCAAGGATGTGGAGCAACAGGAACTCTACTTCATCACTGATGGGAATGTAAAATGGTACAGTCACTTTGCAGACATTTTGGCAGTTTCTTAAAAAGCTAAACATACTCTTACCATACAATCCAGCAATTTCACTCCTTAGTAATTTACTAAAATGAGCTGAAAACACATGTCCACACACAAACTTCAAGCAAATATTTACAGCAGCTTTATTCATAAATGACAAAGCATGGAAGCAACCAAGATGTTCTTCAGTCGATGAATGGGTAAATATAGCACATCCATAAAATGGAATATTATTCAGCACTAAAAAGAAATGAGCTGATCAGCCATGAAAAGACATGGGAGAAACTTAAATGCATACTACTAAGTGAAAAAAGCCAACCTGAAAAGACTACATACTGAATGGTTGCAACTATATGACATTCCAGAAAAGGCAAAAGTATGGAGACAGTTAAAAAGATCAGTGGTTTGGGAGGCCAAGGTGGGTGGATTACGAGGTCAAGAGATTGAGACCATCCTGGCTAACATGGTGAAACCCCATCTCTACTAAAAATACAAAAACGTAGCTGGTTGTAGTGGCATGTGCCTGTAGTCCCAGCTACTCGGGAGGCTGAGGCAGGAGAATCACCTGAACCTGGGAGACGGAGGTTGCAGTAAGCCAAAATCGTGCCACTGTACTTCTGCCTGGGTGACAGAGCAAGACTCCGTCTCAAAAAAAAAAAAGAATCAGTGGTTGCCAAAGGTTACCATGGAGGGAGGGATGAATAGGAAGAACACAGAATTTTTAGAGAAGTGAAACTCCTTATGAAACTATAATGATGGATGCATATCATTATACATTTGTCAAAATCCATAGAATATACAAAACCAAGAGTGCACCCTAATGTAAACTATGACTTTGGGTGATGATGATGTGTCAAAGTAGGTTGTACCACTCTGGTGGAGGATAGGCAGGCTTTGCATGTCTTGGGGCAGGGCATATATGGGAACTTTCTACTCAATTTCACTGTAAATTCAAAACTGCTCTAAAAAATAGTCTTTAACAGAGAGAAAGATGTTTGCTTATTCATATCTTTGTAAGAAAAACAAAAAATGGGTAATATTGGTTGTCTAGGATAGAATGAGGGGACAAGCGGGTGGCTGAGTGGAAGACTTTTCACTGTTCAACCTTTTATATTTTTAGAATTTTAAGCCATAAGCTTATATTATCAAGTCAAAAAGATGAATTAAATTTTAAAAATAAAATTATACCCTCTGAAAATCCTCAGAAAATAATTTTAAGATGGTAAAAATGTTATATACAAATATATTTCACTGCCAAATTAATATTACTAACAGGAGCTCATACCGTGACAGGCACCATTAGATTCTCTGATTTATAAGAAAAATATATTAATACAAATATCACACAGACAGGGAACAGGTCAAAAAATTATGAACAGACCAATGAAATGTTTGGCAACCATTAAAATAAAGTTTATAGAAAGTCTGTAACATATTGCTAAATTGTTATGTTAAAAAGCAGGCGGCCGGGCGCGGTGGTTCACGCCTGTAACCCCAGCACTTTGGGAGGCAGAGGCGGGTGGATCTCAGGGTCAGGAGATCGAGACCATCCCGGCTAACATGGTGAAACCCCGTCTCTACTAAAAATACAAAAAATTAGTTGGGCATGGTGGCGGGTGCCTGTAGTCCCAGCTACTCAGGAGGCTGAGGCCGGAAAATGGCGTGAACCTGGGAGGCGGAGCTTTCAGTGCGCCGAGATTGTGCCATTGTACTCTAGCTTGGGCAAGAGCAAGGCTTCGTCTCAAAAAAAATAAAAAAATAAAAAAATAAAAAAGCAGGCTATAGTACTCTATATAGTACTCTAATATAGTACAAGTCTAATTATTGTTAAAAGGGAAGAAAAAAAAGCTATGCAGAAAAGAAAGGCTAGAATAAATACACTAAGGTGACTATTTGCTGAAAACATGCAATTTTAATTTTTTTCGTTTTTCTAATTTTATCAATGTATTTAAATAAGCACACATTAAGCTGAAAAAAATAAGTCTTTACTTTTTAAAAATGGTTTTCACAGATTTGGCATCTCACACTAACAGGAAGGTTCAGTGGTGGGAAATTACCTGTATGTGACTTTGGTACTGTATAAACCAGAACTACATTTATGGTAAGATATAGATTTGAGATTCAATTCTGACATTACCTGTTTGACTTTAAGCAAATCAAACATCTTCTCTTTTTCCTTGATTCTAGGATGTGAATAGTAACTCCTATCTTCCTTGCAAGGGTGCTTTTAGTATTAGAGGTGCTTGTTTAAAGAGCTTAGCACAGCCTAAAGCTCCACCAAAAGTATCTTTTGATTTCTTTGCTTTTTTATGGCTTTTAACAGCCATTAAGCACTCCATCCCATCAGCATCCCCAAGACACTGTTCTCTTCTTCCTTTGGCAAGTGGCTAATTGTTAGTGGCATTGCCTGCTGGAACTTGAGATCTTAACATCTTCTACCCTCATCTTCCCTTAAGAGACCACATTTGGTGCTGTGCTCCTAGAACTGGAAACAAATATAGTCACATCCTCATCTACATGCTTATATTCTCCTCTATATTCCAGTACTCTCTACTGTCATATGCCTTCTCCTAATCATCTGCTGCCAACCCTAAACACACACAGAAGTCCCACAACATGAGGCTTTATTCTAATGTTAGGGAGGCTTTCTGTTTAATGGAAAAGTGAAACGTAGAGCTTAAAGTCAAATTAGACCTAGTAATAGAAAGTATCAAAATGTAAATGAAGATCTTGAGGGTATCCAGAAATATACCTCACGTCCACTCAAATCCCAATCAGTACATTTTTCTCTGATTAAATCTGAAATTTCTCAAAGACAAACCAGTCTTAGATTGTATTATCCTATTTAAACCTAGACATTAGAGTTTAAATAGACATCTGTAGATTAATCACAAAATCAAAGCCCAATTACAAAATGTTCTTAAGAAATAATACATTGAGAACCAAACAACAATGCTGATTTACTTGTCAGATTTTGATATTGTAAATAAACTTTTAGAATGGCTAATTAATGGCAGTTAACTGTCATGCAGAACTCATTTTATTCTCAGGACAACCCTAGGAAATATCCCCATTTTTCTATTGGGGGGATGGGTAAACTGAGGCTCAGAAGGGATAAGGTTACACCCACTGAGCAGCAGATAAGGCATCAGACTCCAGACTAGGACACATTAGGACACATTTTTTGTTCAAAACACAAAATATTCATACTAGCTACAGATTGAGTCTTACATTCCTAGGAATCTAGGAGAAAAAAAGGTGCTTTCATACAAATCTTTCCATAGTCATTACATTCCAAATTTTACTCTCCAGCATGAAGCCTCTGATGTCGAAGAAGTGCTGAACTGTGCCTAAAGGATTTCCCACATCCAACACACTCATAAGGTTTTTCTCCAGTATGAATTCTGTAATGCTCACTAAGGTGTGCTTGTTTGCGGAAAGTTTTTTCACACTCACTACATTTATAAAGTTTCTCTCCGGTGTGAGTCCTTTCATGTTCAACAAGGGAAGAGTTCTGAGTGAAGGCTTTACCACATTCAATGCATGTGTAGGGTTTCTCTCCTGAATGAATTCTCTGATGCTGCATGAGACATGCACTCTGATTAAAGGCTTTCCCACATTTATTACACTTAAAAGGTTTATCTCCAGAATGACTTCTCTGATGACGAGTAAGGCATACGCTCTGACTGAAGGCTTTGCCACATTCTGTGCATTTATACGGTTTCTCTCCAGTATGAATTCGCTGGTGTTTAATAAGGGATGGGCTCTGACAAAAGGCTTTTCCACATTCATTGCATTTATAGGGTTTCTCTCCAGTATGAATTCTCAGATGCTGAACAAGAATTGCTTTTGTTTGAAAGGCTTTGTCACATTCATTACATTTAAAAGGTTTCTCTCCCGTATGGATTCTCAGATGTTGAGTAAGATTTGACTGTTTACGGAAACAACTTCCACATTCAGTGCACGCATAGGGCTTCTCTCCTCTGTGAATCCTCTGGTGCTGGGTAAGAGATGATCTCTGAGTAAAGAACTTTCCACATTCACTACACTTTGAAGGTTTCTTCTGCATGTTAACTCTCCGATGTTTCATTTTGAGTGATATTTGGCTGGAATTCATGCTGCTTGTAACACGAAATTCATACTTACAAAATTTTTTTTTCCTCACAGATGATTATCATTAGAGTAATACTGTTCTAGGAAAGGTTACTGTGTGTGTGTGCTCACACACATCACACATGCATTGCTGTCCTCTCATTCATCCCTGCAGGATTCCCCTTCCTCTTCCTTGTTCAGCCTGTATTCTCAACTTCTCCAAAAGTGAACCCCTGATGATCAGCCTCTCTGAAGAGAGAGATTAAGTTGTGACAGGTATTAGGAATTCTATAAAATTCCATATCACGATTGATTCTGAAACAATCAAATACTAAAAACTAACCCAGGTAATTTGGGATCATTCAGATTTGCATCCACAGTGATAAATAACTGGAAAATATGAAAGGAATAAGTATACTAGACTTGGACATATAAGTGTTAGGGAAACTTACTGTCCACTTAGTCTCTACTCCTCAAAAAACAGAGGAATAATAATTCCATTTTCTTAGGTTGCCTATAATCATGGCAGACTAGTGATACTCAAAGAGTTGCCCTTCTAAAACTTCAAATGTGATTCAGGCTGTAACTTTCACTAGGCCTATCTCACCAGTCCTTCCTTATTCAGTCACGTTTACAGGTGTCTCACTGGATCTCTTTCTCTCCACAACATTCACCATCTATAGTTCTCTCCTTAAGTCTAACTGGAAACCTACAGGTTTGAAAACTAGAGTCCTGCTTACTGGAAGAAAGTAAGATGTTGCTCTTTTGTTTCAGGAAAATTAGAGAAGTGGTCCTTAAAGAAGAAGGTTTAATTGGACAGTAACTTGACTACAGCATCTTGGTCCAGGTGCTGGCCCTCACCTTTGTAGCCAAAGAAATACTTCAGAATCTGAAGTATACTAATCAGATTTATAAGGGGAATGAGAGAGAAAATAAAGTCACTTTATTTATTTACAATAAAAATAAATAAAACTTTTGTGCTCAATATAGAGCTGGTTAACACATTCTCTGGACTTTAGAAAAACAGTATGTGAACCAAATCATTGTCATTAGAGCACTCTTTGGGAAACAAAGAACTGGAGAAAGAACAAAATATTTAATTGATCATAACTAAACGATCATCAAATTTTGAAACCCTGGTGCCCTAAATAAGCTACACGGAATTAAAGAATGAATATTCAGGTGCTGCACGTCAGAGCAACCTCTTCCCTAGTAGGTGCTGGAGACACACATTCTTTTTCTCTGAGGCCCATTTTTGTCTTAGTTTTCTAATCATGTAAATTACACAACTATATATCCTCACTTTAAAATATTTAGATAATATAGAAGTATATAAGATAGGCCAGGCATGGTGGCTCACACCTATCATCTCAACACTTTGAGAGGCTGAGGCAGGAGGATCACTTGAGGCCAGGAGTTTAAAAGCAGCCTGGGCAACATAGTGAGATACTGTCTCTACAAAAAATAAACAATTAGCTGAGTGTGGTCATGTGCACCTGTAGTCCCAGCTACTCAGTAGGCTGAGGTGGGAAAATTACTTGAGCCCAGGATGTTGAGGCTGGAGTATGCCATGATCACGCCACTGCACTCCAGCCTAGGACACAGAGCAAGACCCCGTCCCTAAAAATATTTTTGTTAGCAAAATAAACCTATTCCTTGATTATCAAGTTTGCAGTATTTTCTTTCATTCCTTTTTTCTTCATATTTTTCTACACACATATAGCACTTAATTCTCTTTACATAAATGAAACAGTTCTACAGGTTCTGCTCTGCAATTTGCTTTTATTTCCCACTAAAAAATGTGTCTTAGAGACCTCTTCATGTTGGTACATATGGATCTACTGGGGCTAAGAGTCAACTGATACATACTGGTATATCTGTACAAATTGTTCACGACTACCTGCTTGGGCAATGCCTGTACCATACTGTTTGTTAAATATGTCGACTACCTTACCTAAACCTATCTTTATCTGATGTATTAACTTACAGCATGGATATGCTATATACAAAAACAAACTCCAGTTGGTTTAAGCAACTAGATGTAAAACCAAAACTCTAAGCACATTTTTAATTCCTTTACGCATATTTTTCCAAAATAAAAAGGTTTTTATCTTATCATACAAAGAATGCATACTCATTCTATTAAATGGTCAGCTACTCCAAAGAGGAAATCACTTGAAACCCAACCACAGAAAATAGAGTTAGTATGTTGATGGACTTTTTTTTTTTTTTTTTTTTTTTTTTGAGACGGAGTCTTGCTCTGTCGCCCAGGCTGGAGTGCAGTGGCACGATCTCGGCTCACTGCAAGCTCCGCCTCCCGGGTTCACGCCATTCTCCTGCCTCAGCCTCCCGAGTAGCTGGGACTACAGGCGCCCACAACCGCGCCCGGCTAATTTTTTGTATTTTTAGTAGAGACGGGGTTTCACTGTGGTCTCGATCTCCTGACCTTGTGATCCGCCCGCCTCGGCCTCCCAAAGTGCTGGGATTACAGGCGTGAGCCACCGCGCCCGGCCGATGGACTTTCTTCTAGGTATCTCTTGATGCATATAAACACAGATACATACATAAGTGTTCATGTATTATGCATACATATTAAACGAGGCCAAATTCTTCAGGACACAGTCATTTCTCTTCACAGAGTTCCCATAACCTAAGAATACAATTTACCCAGAATTATTTTACTGAGTTTGACAGACACCCAGGCTCCAAGTTGCCTTTTGATAGCCAGTGACAGTATCAGTTGCAGTAACTTAAGCACTTGTTCTAAACACGGCCAGAAACCCATTCCATATTCTCTGAGGAAACACCTAATCACATTTGCAATGGGTCTTCCAATAATTTACTACCCATATTCCTAGATCCAACCACTACATCATTAAGGCATCATACTTAGCAGTTCAGTAAGTAGTTTAAAGATGTGCTACCAGATGACTGTAGAGTCTTCAGTTCAGGTACTCTGATAAGAACTTAGTGCACTCTAACCAATTATTCCATAGCCTTTTTCACAGTGGGCCACTCTCACTGATTTGAGTAATATGGTACCCATTTCTGCGTGGTTCTGCATTTTCAGTCTCCTGGGTCCACATATAGTGGACGTTGGTGGGTCCCATCACTTCTGATGGCAGTCTCACAACCACCACCATCTAGTTAGAATTAACTTACCAAGAGACAGGTTGTTAGGCACACAAGCAATACTGGCTTTTCTCCTGGGGACTCTTCTTGAGGAAAGGCAGGAATTTGAGGCACTGAGGGAGGAAAAAGAGCCACCCATAAATTGCCAGCCGACTTTTCTACATATTCTGGATTCGGGGTAACTCAAGAACATCCCATCTCTAACCAAACGACCATTTTAAGTTTAAATGAAAGAATATCGTTATTATCCTAGAGGAGTATCTCCAATGACAAAAATTAGTGAGTGGGTACACTTCAGAGCGATGTGGCAATGCACAAAGAGGGCAGGTTGTTCTAAGGACTAAGCATCTGGGGGTAAAAATTTCTTTATAGGAGATCAGGTTGGAGCCCAATGGCTCCCCTAAGCCTACTGGAAAAGCCATTTATTCCAAAAGTCAAAGGCTGCAGGGCTACAACAGAGGGCAGGACCAGTAATAGACTCAGTCAAGAGGTGTGGATTCTAGTCTCAGTTCTGCCACAAATTTGTTCAGTGACCTAACGCAGGTCACTCAGTCTCATCCATTTCTTATTTGTTAAATGAAAGTGAAAAGCTAGATAATATTTAAAGCTTCTTCTAATATCAACATTCTATGATGCTTTGATTCTATATAGATGGGAAAAGAGCAAAAACCTAAAATCAAGCCCTTCCAGTCCATCTTTGATTGAGTCTGTTTATTCATTTATTTGAAAAGTACTAAAGGAGCTAGCAGTGAGGTGAGTGGGTCTTGTTAAGAACAGGTTGAATGAAGGGGTGGCCTACCCTTCCACAACTGTGGGTGTTTCTCGTTAGGTGGAACGAGACTTGAGAAAAGAAATGAGACACAGAGACAAAGTATAGAGAAAGAAAAAGTGGGCCCAGGGGACCGGCGCTCAGCATACAGAGGACCCACGCTGGCACCCGTCTCTGAGTTCCCTTAGTATTTATTGATAATTAATCTTTACCATCTTAAAGAAAAGGAAGTGGCAGGATAATAGGATCATTGCAGGGAGAAAGTCAGCAGTAAGACATATGAATAAAGATCTCTGTGACATGAATAAGTTTAAGGAAAAGTGCTGTGCCTTGATATGCATATGCAAACATGTCCATAAACCTTTTTACTGCATAAAGAGCAGCATTGCGCTAGCAAGTCCCGCCTTTTGCCCTAAGGCGGTTTTCTCCTCTCTCAGTAAACTGAACATACAATTGGGTTTTATACCGAGATGTTCCATTGCCCAGAGACAGGCAGGAGACAGATGCTTTTCTCTGTCTCAACTGCCAACAACCGCCAAGAGGCCTTCTTTCCTCTTGTACTAGTCCTCCTCAGCACAGACCCTTCACGGGTGTCAGGCTGGGGACAATCAGGTCTTTCCCTTCCCATGAGGCCATATTTCAGACTATCACATGGGGAGACACGTTGGACAATACCTAGCTTTCCTAGACAGAGGTCCCTGCGACCTTTGGCAGTGTGCGTGTCCCTGGGTACTTGAGATTAAGAGAATGGTGATGACTTTTAACCAGCAAGCTGCCTTCACTTGTTTAACAAAGCACACCCTGCACAACCCAAAATTCTTTAAACCTTGAGTTGCCATAGCACATGTCTCTGGCAAGGACAAGGTTGGGGGTAGGGTCACAGATTAACAGCATCTCAAATACAGAACAAAAGGGAGTCTCTTATGTCTACTTCTTTCTATATAGACACAGTAACAGTCTGATCTTTCTTTTCCCCACACTGAATCAACAGCAGGGAAACTTCCTGTCAGTTATCCTCCAATTAGAATTGGGGAAATTTCTCGAAAATAACAAGAGGACTGCCTTTTTGTGAGGAGTATCTGCTGTAAGATGTCAAGGACCCTTCATAAGGGAAAGGTTTCAAGAACCCCTCCTAATGTAAAGAACACTGTATTCAAAGGCAGGAACCTGGTTTCCTGTCTAATACATGCCAATCTACTAGCATCTCTTAACTGACACTGAACAAACTGTTTAATTATTTTCAAACTTCTCTTTTTTCCCCCCATTTGGTCAAATAAGCCAGCAATTATTTTCAAGCTTGCAGTCAACCTTTAATATTTAGCTCAAATGTGAACCTCCACACCTCTTCCATGTGGGAAATTTTTCTTGACTTTTCCAAGGCACTTCTTCGTCTACATTCTCAAAGAATTTTACAAGTTTCCACTGCAGGACTTTCTAGTCTGATTACACTCTGTCTTCCTCCACCAAACTTACAAGTATGGCATGGGCTCTGGGGCTAGGACTTTTGAACAAGTTACTTAACCTTTCTTTGCTCCAGTTTTTTCAATTGTTAAATGGAGACGATAACAATAACCACTCTATAGGGTTGTGGTCATGAATAAGTGGGTTACTACATGGCAACTACCTAGAAGAATGCCAGCTGGTAAGCATTCAATAAATAGTGCCTGCTGTTAAAATATTGAGTCTGTATGTCTTCATACAGTACCTATTTTGTTGCTATTAGAGAAGAATAAATAATGAAGGGAAGTGGATAATTATTGCATATACTTATTTCAACCCGCACAACTTTGGAAATCGGCAAGGCAAGAAACAGTATTTACTTCTGGAAATCAGAAAATTGAAGTGTCCAGAAGTTCACTAACTTGCTCAAGTATGTACAAATCGAACGCATGTCCCCCGACTCCCAGCCTAGGGCTCTCGAACAGCCTCTCCTCCCTTCATGGCAAGTTTGCGCTAGGCCTCGGGCCTCCGCTCCAAAGGCCCTCCAGGAAGGAAGACGCCCTGCCTCCCGAGGAAGGCGCTGGAATCGACCCGCAGCAGCCCGGCACAGCGGAAACTGCTCACCATGCACTTCCCGCGGCGCTCCCCTCACTAACCTTGCGACAGGTGCCTGGGTCTGCTCTGTGGAAAGGAGTAATTCCCCGACGCGCCCCGCCGGCGTGACGTCAGCAGTCCGCGCCTCGGCCAATAACCACGGCCGTCTCCTCTCTAGGAAGGCGGGAGCGGCTTCCTCTCTGTGGTTCCTCCCCCCGACGCAGCTACGGGTTTCGGGTTTCGGTGCTGTGCGGGATAAGCAACCTGCAGAAACAACCTGCGAGCCCACCTGACGTGCGTCTTCCAGTACAGGGAAACGGAATGGAAGTCAGAAGGGTCGACCACAAGGAGCTCTTACTGTGCATCACTTCATCCTGCAAGTCCGCCACATTTAACTTCCTATGTTACTGTCCTTTGGGGATTATCAAGGCTTTTCACAAAACTGGCTTCCACCTTCTTCACACACATCCTAATCTGGAAGAAAATTGACCTCCTCACAGAAACCCCTGACACCTTACTGACCCAGGATCTTTGTTCAGGTGGCCAAAAAAAAAAAAAAAAAAAAAAAAAAAAAAAAAAAAAAAAGCTGTACAGGCTAGGCGCGGTGGCTCACGCTTGTAATCCCAGCACTTTGGGAGGCCGAGGCGGGCGAATCACCTGAAGTCAGGAGTTCGAGACCAGCGTGCCCAACATGGAGAAACCCCGTCTCTACTAAAAATACAAAAATCCGCCAGGTGTGATGGTGGGCGCCTGTAATCCCAGCCACTCCGGAGGCTGAGACGCAAGAATCACTTGAACCTGGGAGCGGGAGGTTGCAGTGAGCCGAGATCGAGCCACTGCACTCCAGCCTGGGTGACAGAGTGAGACTGTCTCAGAAAAAAAAAAAAAAAAAAAAAAGCACTGCTTTGGGCTCAAATCCCTGATTCTCAGTGTATGAACTTTGCAATTTTACCTCTCTGTGCCTGCTTCCTCACTTATCAGGTATAATAATGGTACCATAGGGTTGTTGTGAGGATTAAATGAGGTTAATACGTGTGAATTACTAACATCTAGTATTTTTAAAATCTTCAGTAAATGTTAGAACTATTATCTGCTTCTCAAATCCCAGCTCCAGTGCTATTGTTCTGCCTTGGCTTCAGTGACCTTTTAGGGCCTCAAGACAGCACACTCATCCCTTTCTACAAAACTTCAGATCTTGCTGGCCCTAACCAGGAAATATTTGCACACATGGGCTCATCTTGACAGGTAAAGTCTAGAGATAAAGGCATGAGTGGAGAGTACCTTATTCACTTCCAAGCATTCCTATTGATCTGCAAGCTCAGGACAACGGGGCTGCGTGCATACTATCATATCCCTAGTGTGCAGCATATAGTAAAGAACACTTGCTGAGTAAATTAATGAGATGCAGCAGAGAAATTATCCATTCCAGGCCAGGGGTGGTGGCTCATGCCTGTAATCCCAGCACTTTGGGAGGCCATGGAGGATGGATCACGAGGTCAAGAGTTTTGAGACCAGCCTGACCAACATGGCAAAACCCCGTCTCTACTAAAAATACACAAAATAGCCGGGTGTGGTGGTGCGCCCCTGTAATCCCAGCTACTCAGGAGGGTGAGGTAGGAGAATCGCTTGAACCTGGGAGGTGGAGATGCAGTGAGCCGAGATCATGCCACTGCACTCCAGCCTGGGTGACAGAGCCAGACTCCACCTTAAAAAAAAAAAAATTGGCCGGGTGCAGTGGCTCACGCCTGTAATCCCAGCACTTTGGGAGGCCGAGGCGGATGGATCACGAGGTCAGGAGATCAGGACCATCCTGGCTAACATGGTGAAACCCCATTTCTACTAAAAAAATACAAAAAAAAAAAAAAATGCCGGACGTGGTGGTGGGCGCCTGTAGTCCCAGCAACTCTGGAGGCTGAGGCAGGAGAATGGTGTCAACTCAGGAGGGGGAGCTTGCAGTGAGCCGAGATAGTGCCACTGCACTCCAGCCTGGGCTACAGAGTGAGACTCCGTCTCAAAAAAAAAAAAAAAAATTATCCATTCCAATCTTCAGATTGGCAGTTTTCCCAAAATGGAGTCCCTATTGAACACAAATCAGGAATGGTGGTGCCACAGACTGGGGCCATCACTATCTTTGGCTAAAAAGTGACCCTTTGTAAAATTGTCAGTTGACATGCCATGTAACAATAATGTTAAGTTTCTCTTTCCAGGTGTCACATTCTCAGCACTTTTTTGGAATCAGCAAGTTCTTCCCTCCAGCCCTAACATCTCACAGGCCAGAGAGCCCAGGTCTAATTATTCATTCCCCAAACATCAGGCTTCAAAGAATCTCCAAATCAGCAGGCTCTAGTGTATGGAGGACATTAAGTCTGGAGTGAGGTACCCTAGGTAGAGCAGGTTACTAGAAACCGTAATCTGGAGTTTAATAGCAGTTTGGGCTGAGCTTCTTTCAATGAGGTGTAAAATAGATGGTAGGGATGCACACCAAAAACATTCCATAACACTAAAATAACCTTAGCCCTCATGTGGCCAGTGGATAAAAGAAATGAAACTAATGCCACATATGGTCAAGATTAGGTTTCTGCCTTATGTAGAAAAAGTAGGGGCCAAAAGGTATAATCAACTTACTTGTCACCCTCACACTCAGGAAAGTCTGAGATTCTGAGAACAAAAACCCTCTCAATCTTATACAAGTGAGCTCCTCACATCCTCAGGATAAGGAAAAGACTGGAGCACTAAGTGGTCAATTCTAGGCTGGATGCAGTGGCTCAGGCCTGTAAGGGAGTCCAAGACAGGAGGATCACCTGAGAGCAGGAGTTTGAGATGAGCCTGGGTAACATATCAAGAACCTGTCTGCACCAAAAAATAAAATAAACTTTTTTTTGAGACAGGCTCTTGCTCTATCACCCAGGCTGGAGTGCAGTGGCATGATCTTGGCTCACTGCAACCTCCGCCTCCCGGGTTCAAGCGATTCTCCTGCCTCACCCTCTTGAGTAGCTGGGATTACAGGCATGCGCCACCATGCCTGGCTAATTTTTGTATTTTTAGTAGAGATGGGGTTTCACCATGTTGGTCAGGCTGGTCTCAAACTCCTGACCGTGTGATCCGCCTGCCTTTGCCTCCCAAAGTGCTGTGATTACAGGCATGAGCCACCGCACCCGGCCATAAAATAAACTTTTTAAAAATTAGGCAGGCATGGTAGCTCACATCTGTAGTCCCAACTACTTGGGAGGCTGAGTTGAGAGAATCGCTTGAGCCTGGGAGGTCTACGCTATAGTGAGCTAGGATCATGCCACTGCACTCCAGCCTGGGCAACAGAGTGAAACCATCTCAGAAACAAAAAAAAAAAGTGGTCAGTTCTACAAAAGATAAAGAGGCATATGGAATAGAGGTATAACCAATACAGGGGAAAGTGAATGAAATGCAACGACACTGCAGTTTGAACCTCATCTGACACTGGTTGTGTAGTCTTGAGCAACCCCAATCACATCTTTCCTCTTTTGTTCTGAGGATCTGATGTGGCTCCATCCCACTGTGTCCTTCTGAAGTCATGAATTAAATTTCAGTGCACAATAAGCAAGACACTCAAATTCTTTATCATCCCAGAGCCCAAAATCTCAGGAAGTGCTTCCACTTTGGAATTTCTTTTTTTTTTTTTAAAGAGAGAGGGTCTCACTGACACACAGGCTAGAGTGCAGTGGCGTGATCCTAGCTCACTGCAGCTCCAAACACCTGGGCTCAAGCAATCCTTCCACCTCAGGCTCAGCATCCAGAATAGCTAGGACTATAGGCATGCACCACCACACCTGGCATTTTTTTTTTTTTTTTTTTTTTTAGAGACAAGGTCTTGCTATATTCCACAGGATGCTCTCGAACACCTGGCCTGAATCAATCCTCCCACCTCAGACTCCTGAGTATTTAGGATTATAGGTGTGGGCCACCATGCCTGGCACACTTTAGGATTTGTAAGCTCCAAATGCCCTCCTGCTAGGCCAGCATTACTCTTCCGTTCCTGTTTACTATTTCATAGCTATTCCAGTTGACACAGGTATGTCTCTGCAGTTGCATGCATTTTCCTCCTCCTGCTGACCCTGACATCAATATAATTGAAAGCATTTTGTTAAATTGTGATAGGACTTTTAAATCTCTAATTGAAAAATACTGTTTTTTATGGGATCTTCTGTTTAATAAAACCACATACCTTATCTTAGGGAAAGTTGCAGAATTCTTGCTCCTGGCAGACACTTCATGGATACACATACTCACCATGCCTCCTTCCTGCTGACAACTGGGGACCTAAGGCACAACCTGCAGACTGGCACACAGAAATGTCTGACTCTTCAGCTGAGTTCAACAAATACTTATTGAGCACCTCCTAAGTACCAGGCACTGTTGATACAAAGGTAAACAAATTTCACATTGTTCCTTCCCTAGCAAAGCTGAAAAAGGGAAAGATGTGTGGACAAACCATTATAATGTAACATAATAAAATGATGAAAAATACAAGACAGAATAAAACATCCATGAGGTTAGAGACAGCTTTGAGATATTGCCTGAGCACATTCCTAAGTGAAAAATGGGAGTTTTGCAGGCAAGCAGAAGCAGGGAAGGGAATTGAGGCAACAGGAATAGTATGTGCAAAAGTGCCAAAGTAGAGTCCAGAGGTGATATTCCAGAATCACAGGAATTTGAACTATGGAATAGAACATGCCAGGCAAGGAATGGCAGCTGGGGATGGCAATTCAGGCATGGGCCAGATGAGGGGCCTTAAATGCCTCTTTAAAGGACTAGTACTTTATTCTGAAAACAGTAAGTAGCCAGTTATGCTTATAAAGATCAAGAAGAAATGGGAAAATGGCGTAGTGGGGCAAGAAACCAGAAGACTGTAGATAAATTTTAAAATAGGAAGCCCAGGCACATTGGCTTATGCCTATAATCCCGGCACTTCGGGTGGCTGAGGCAGGCACATTGCTTGAGCCCAGGAGTCTGAGACCAGCCCGGGCAACATGGTGAAACCCATCTCTACAAAAAAAAAATACAAAAATTAGCCAAGCATAGTGGCACATGCCTGTAGTCCCAGCTACTTGGGAGGCTGAAATGGGAGGACCGCTTGAGCCTGGGAGGTAGGGTATGCAGTAAGCAGAGACGATGCCATTGCATTCCAACCTGGACAACAGAGTGAGATCCTGTCTCAAAAAAAAAGAATTAAAATTAAAGGAGTAGGGGACTGGACTACAATTGCAGTGGAGATGGCTTCCAGAGATAGGAGATAATTTCAACAGGATATAGTGGTTATATGGATATGAAGACTGAGTAAGAGGGAAAATTGAGGGTGAGGGCAATGCCTAGGTTTGGGGCCACACTGGAGTGACTAGGCACATCATGGGCCAGCAACTGAGAGAAAATCAGAGCACATAAGTGCAAGTGTGAGAATATGGGGTCATGGTAGTGGAAAGACTAGTTATTTACCTTTGTTTCCCCAGAATGTGAAAACATGCCAGATTTTCTCAGCCTGAGAATTAAAAATCCAGGATCAAGTCTGTTCCATTTGAGAAAATTTTTCCCACAAGAACTTATACATATCTTTTTTTTTTTTTTTTTTTTTTTTTTTGAGAAAAAGTCTCACTCCGTCTCCCAGGCTGGAGTACACAGGCACAATCTCGGCTGACTGCAGCCTCCACCTCCCAGGTTCAAGTGATTCGCCGTGCCTCAGCCTCCCAAGATATCTTTAAAGTTTTCTTGTTTCTTTGTTAAGAAAACTCTCCCTATTCTCTCTAGTCTCCACTCATAATTCTCAAGATAGTGTACAAATATTGCTATAAATATTCATCAGGAAGTTCCAAGAAAGGTTCTGTTGGGGAATGGTTGATATATTAACTCATGAAATAAATATTTACTGAACATGTATTATGTGCCAGTAATTAATTATACAGTGTTTTTATCTAGGAAGTATAAATACATTGTTTGTTTTTGGTAAAATAATATTTTCATGAACATATTTAGAAAGCTTTTACAGCATTTTTACCCATAATGTATTAATTTCCTCAATTATGACTTCATTGGTGGTAGGTTTTAAGAACATAATCTTCATAGAAAGTGAAAAAGATATATGATATTTATACCATATTCCCATTAATGATAATTCACGGCCCAAACCTATCCCTAGAAGGCAATTGCTCTAGAAAAATCGATGAGTTCCAAATAACCAAGTATTCCAGAATCAACTTAATTTAGTGTTTTTAATAGCCACACTTTAAAAATGCTATAAGCTTCACAGCTTAGAAACTATTTTAAATACCAGTCAAAGGCTATCCTCAATCTTCTGGAGCTCAATTTCTGGGTAGCAGTTAAGAACATGAAAGGAATTTGGGAAATAAAGGGAAAACTATGTCATTTCTCTCAAAAGAATAAAATACTCTCACAGTCAGTGGCAAAATGTACTATCCTGATTTTCAGGGATTTGAAAAAGATTCTTTTAGAAGTCTTTCCAAAATCATTCCACGACAAATGTCAACACTTTCTTAAGCGGCCCCAACGTCCAATCAACTGAAAATTCTATCTTCTTTCATTACTAATGCTTTCTCCTAAAGACCAACAAACTAACTATCACTTTGTTAAGATGCTGTTAGTCCTAGTGGGTCTCTCTCCTCTGGTCTCTGTACACCAAGAGCCTAGGCAAAGTTACAACAGACAGGTGTACACCTTAGCACAGGCAGGGTTATGTAGGTGACTTGCTCAGTCGCATGCAGGCTTCCTGTTCTGAGGCTTGTCACTTGAGCAGACCATTTCCTTCCTGGGTAACCATTATTCCTCTGAGATAGATATTGGGTCTTACTGGTTCTCTGAACAGGTATGACTGCCTTCCCATAAACCAATATCATGAATTCTAACTTGGTTTCCTGTTTCATTCTTAGCTCTGAGTCACCCCAAAGCTTGGAAGAATCAGGAAAGACCTTCTTTACTGGCAGATCTATAGAGGTCAGCCCAGTTGTTGCTTTATATCTCCTTTTTTAAAATGAATGAATATGGATTTTTTTTTTTGGTTCTTATTTCTGTCTCCTCTTTACAGGACCACTTCCACAGGTTGGGAGCTTTCCCCATGGTAGCATGGTCAGGGCTGCCTCAAATCTGGAGGCTGGACTTAGCACTACATCAGAACTGTGCCACTTCACACTGACAGGCAGTGTTTAAGAAAAACATCTCAACCTGCCAGCCAACAAAAATGGGTGATAAGTCAGAAGATGGGGCAGGGTGTAGTAAAGTTAGCAGAAGTGCTAACTTAACAAATGCCCCCTCAAGCTGTAAGAGTCACATGGGGAGACAGTGGCAATGTGTAGGCTTTATCTGAAAAGCAGGAATTTCTTTCTACCCTGTATTCCCAGATGCCCACCTCGAGTAGGCTCTGCATTCCCTAAGCTCTCACCTCCATTTCTGGAAACATTCCTCTCAGAGTACAGTAGCCAAGGCTCCTTCTTCCTTCCCTCCAGGAACTCTACCTGCCCCTCTACTCCCAGTCAGATTCATAGTCATCCTCACTAGAGAAACTGTCATAACCTAAATGCCAGCATTATTCACCACTGTGAAGTTTCTGATGTCTGAAAAGGACTGAACTATGTCTGAAGAACTTTCCACACTCAATGCACTCATAAGGCTTCTCACCAGTGTGAATTCTGTAATGTTCACTAAGGTGTGCATACTTGCGGAAGGTTTTCTCACACTCACTACATTTATAGAGCTTCTCACCAGTGTGAGTTCTATGATGTTCAGTAAGAGATGAGCTATGAGCAAAGGCTTTCCCACATTCTTTACATTTATAGGGCTTCTCTCCAGTATGAATTCTCATATGCTGAGTGAGGCAGGTGTTCTGATTAAAGCCCTTTCCACATTCATTGCATTTATAGGGTTTTTCTCCAGTGTGACTTCTCTGATGCCGAATAAGGCAAATGCTCTGAATGAAGGCTTTACCACATTCACTGCATTTGTAGGGTCTCTCCCCCGTGTGTATTCTCTGATGTTTAGTGAGTGGGGTGCTCTGAGTAAATGCTTTGCCACATTCCTTACACTTATATGGTTTTTCTCCAGTATGAATTCGCTGGTGTTTAATAAGAGATGGGCTCTGACAAAATGCTTTGCCACATTCTTTACATTTATAGGGTTTCTCTCCAGTATGAATTCTCTGATGCTGAGAGAGGTTTGCCTTTGTTTGGAAAGTTTTCCCACATTCATCACATTTATGGGGTTTTTCCCCAGTGTGAATTCTCTGATGTTGTGTAAGATTTGAATGTTTTCGAAAAGAAGAGCCACATTCACTGCATACATAAGGCTTCTCACCAGTGTGAATTCTCTGATGATGAATAAGGTGTGTATTCTGATTGAATGTCTTCCCACATCTATTACATTTATAAGGTTTCTCTCCAGTGTGAATTCTCTGGTGTTCAGTGAGATGTGAGTGATTGCGGAAAGAATTCCCACATTCATTACATTTGTAAGGTTTCTCTCCAGTGTGAACTCTTTGATGCTGAGTAAGAAATGATCGACATCGAAATGTTTTCCCACACTGCTCACATCCATATGGTTTCACTCCAGTGTGAATTCTTTGATGTTGAACAAGGAATGAACTACGACTAAAGGCTTTCCCACATTCCTCACATGCATAGGGTCTCTCTCCAGTATGAGTTCTCTGATGTTGGGTAAGGGATGAGCCCTGAGTAAAGGTTTTTCCACATTCATTACATTTCCAAGATTTCTTCTGTGTGCAGAGAGTTGGACATTTACTGTGGTCGGAAAAATCATTGGTGTGTACATTACTTGTTTCCCACTGATGCAGACTCTCTTCTGTAGAAACCCTGAGACGTGTAACAAGGCTTGAGGTCAAAAGCAAGCTTTTCTCAAAATTGTAGTTTTGACTAATAATTTCAGGGGGTGCTTCTTTGTGGATGAAAGTTATTCCCCCAAAACCTCCTTCCTGGAAAAGACATGATTCAGCAATCTCCCTAGGAGAGTTTTCCTTCATGCCCTCACATGCATATTTTTCTTCAAATGTAGAATCTTGGTATTCATCCTCTTGGAATCTCTTTGCTACTATCCCTGATGAATCAGTTTTACAGACATCCTGCTCTGGAGCAGGCTTGTTCTTGTTTACCCAGCCTGAAAGAAAAGAGCAGAATGAATATCTCCTATACAGGGCAGAGTGAAGGCCCCTGATCTTTACTTTTGGCAGACCTCAGTAATGGCCTATGATGAAGGGCCAGTAACAACAAGTGTGGCAAGTAACTGAAGAGTTGCAACTGGTAGAAGAGATATGTATCAGGGAAATATGATTACCATTAATGAGGAACTCCCATAGAAGGGGTAGCTACAGACACCCAAGGAGCAAGAGAATGAGACAATGGAGATAAATGAAAAACAACAACCAACACATAGGCTAAGATTAGGGCAAGACAGGAAACATGAATGCTTTATATCCAGAGTGGAGACTGGGAGAATGTAAACAGGAAAATGCTAGAAATGAGAATAAAATTAGTACTGGGAAAAAGTTGGCCCCAGACATGTTCAGCCACCCCTGCCCCCAACATCCCTATAAGAGACAGTTATTTTATCTCCTGAGCCTCACCCAGCTTCTCTTCTATAATTTCCAAAGGCTTCCTGTTGGCTGGCTATTTCTTCCACTGCTTGTCCCTTGCTCACTCACCTGGACAAGTCTCTCTTCTAATCTCTCTCTCTTCAGTTCCTTGCATATTCAACATCCACAGACTGTCTCTCTTCACTTTGATTGGAAAACACTTCAGGCTTGAAAAACTGGGAGCCCTGCTCATGGGAAAAAAGGTGCAGGGAGAGAGGGAATATTACTGTCCCAGTAAACAGAACAAAGAACTGTTGCCTAGTGACACTATCTAATAACACACACAATAACTCTCAGGATAACAATGTGGAAGCACCCGCAAAAATCAGCATTGGCTTGTAGCCTCCTAGGTTCATACCCCATTTGTTAGCTGTCCAAAAAGTGGTAACATCAGACTAACATACTATCAAATATTTAAGTACTTAATAAATAAATCAGAATGTTATTCATTACCTTTTTATAATGATAAAGATTAACTGAATAGGTATATTCATATCAATTAGTACACTCTGTCCATCATACAATAATCTATATGAAAAGCCAGTCAATATAGTTAAAAGTTATATAGCAAAATGTCCTCATAGCAAGGCTTGTGTATTAAGTCTGATTTACCCACTTCTACCAAACGCCAAGAGGCTGAGATAGTGTCAGGGAATGCTATCTACTTGATACAAACTAGAGACACACTGATTGTCCTTTCTTCAAGATGTCATATCAATTAAACAGTTTTTCTTCAGGTATAGCTCAGTGTCAGAGGACAGGCTGCAGTTAAAAAGAAACAAAAATAAATTTAATTGTGAAATAAGTTTTGACTTACAAAAAAGTTGCAAAAATACCAGTTTCTGTAAATGCTTCTTTTTAAAAATGTCAGTATCAAAACTGTTCATTCAAAAATATCTCTCCATTTAACCTTGAAGTGAGAAGCAGAACTGGCAGCATTATTCAAGGAAAAAGGGAAGATCCAGAGATGATTTTTACCAGAGTCAAGAACTTGGAAGACATGAAAGAATAAAATAAGTCTGCTCAAGTACATAATAAGCTGGTCTTATGGACTTCTCAGTGAAGTCTATGCTTTTGCATTGAACTTTAAAGTTTTAAGAAGATACTTGGCTGGAAGCAGTGGCTTAGGCCTGTAATCCCAGCACTTTGGGAGGCCAAGGCAGGTGGATCACCTGAGGTTAGGAGTTTGAGACCAACCTAGCCAACATGGCGAAACCCTGTCTCCATAAGAATATAAAAATTAGCGGGGCATGATGGCAGGTGCCTGTAATCCCAGCTACTCAGGAGAATGAGGTGGGAGAATCACTTGAACCCAGGAGGCAGAGGCTACAGCGAGCTAAGATTACACGATTGCACTCCAGCTTGGGAGACAGATCGAGACTCCATCTCAAAAAAAAAAAGAAGATCCTATCTGGGTTTTCCTGATTCTCATTCACAGGAAGAACATAAAGGGACCTGTAAGCTACTATACAATCCTACAGAGACTCAGAGACTCATGCAAGCAGACTGGGATTTGGGTGACTAATCAGTGCTAGACACTGGAAAAAGAAGCCAGACACCCTATCTGGCTCCAACTTGTGTCATAGCTGGATAAAGACATTAAATGAATCATTTCAAATATGGGAGTTATAAAACTGCAAGTATGGGGTGCTACAGAATGTAGAGCAGAGGGGACCTGATACAGTCTGGGTCCCCTTTAGACATGTGAAAGGGAAAAGTAGGCCAGGTACGGTGGCTCACGCCTGGGATCCCAACACTTTGGGAGGCCGAGGCAGGCGGATCATGAGGTCAGGAGATCGAGACCGTCCTGGCTAACATGGTGAAACCCCGTCTCTACTAAAAACACAAAAACTTGGCTGGGCGTGGTAGCACATGACTGTAGTCCCAGCTGCATGGGAGGCTGAGGCAAGAGAATCACTTGAACCCGAGAGGCAGAGGTTGCAGTGAGGCAAGATCGCGCCACTGCACGCCAGCCTGGGCGACAGAGTGAGACTCCATCTCAAAAAAAAAAACAACAACAAAAAAGCCGGGTGCGGTGGCTCACGCCTGTAATCCCAGCACTTTGGGAGGCCGAGACGGGCGGATCACGAGGTCAGGAGATCAAGACCACCCTGGCTAACACCGTGAAACCCCATCTCTACCAAAAATACAAAAAATTAGCTGGGTGCGGAGGTGGGCACCTGTAGTCCCAGCTACACGGGAGGCTGAGGCAGGAGAATGGCGTGAACCCTGGAGGCGGAGTTTGCAGTGAGCCGAGATTGTGCCACTGCATTCCAGCCTGGGCGACAGAGCTCGACTCCGTCTCGAAAAAGAAAAAAGAAAGGAAAAACTGGAGAGACAAAATGAACATACAAAAGGAATCAAGTAAGGAATCATAGTAATGCCCAAAGTATTAAACACCAGAAATGAGACATAAAGCCTGAGGGCAAGCCAGTTCAAACAGAACCCTAAAAAACATTTTAAGGACTTTACCCTAAAGTGAAGAGAAAGCCGTAATAAGGATTTGAAAAAGTTTGATAAAATACATGACATGATTAGATCTGCTGTTTTATGGAAACACATTCCTCTGTCTACAGCAACAGATAATGTGTGTAGTAGGGGGGAGTGGGAGGGTAAGGTGAAGGCTTGAAGATCCCTTGTAAGGCTATTTCAGTAGTCCAGTATGGGGACTGGATTAAAAGAAAGAATCAACCAGAATGAATGAATATTGGTGGGAGGGGTGAGAGAGGGAGATGTCAAGGATAATTAGCCAGTTTTGGGTGATGACAGTGACCTTTAGTGACAGTGGGTACACTGGTCTGGAAAGCAATAAGATACCTTTAGTTTCAAATATCTACATAGAAGGTAGAACAGGGCATACATAGTTGAAAGAGAGACAGGTGTGGCCTGAAGAGTTTTAGACATAAAAAAAGTAATTGAAATCACAGGAGTAACAGATAAAATCTTTAAAGAAATGTGGCTAGGAAAACTCCAACAGTGAGTCCAAACACTTAAAAGATCTCTAATCCCAACAAGGTGAGGTAGCTCACACTTGTAATCCTAGCACTTTAGGAGGCCAAAGTGGGAGGATCACTTTAGGCTAGAAGTTTGAGACCAGCCTAGGCAACAGAGAAAACTCCATCTCTACAAAAAACAAAAATTTGTTGGGTGTAGTGGTATGCACCTATAGTCACAGCTACTAAGGTGGAGGATCACTTGAGCCCAGGAGTTCGAGGCTGCAGTGAGCTATTAATATGATTGCATTGGCCAGGCACGGTGGCTCATGCCTGTAATCCCAGCACTTTGGGAGGCTGAGGCAGGTGGGTCACCTGAGGTCGGAAGTTTGAGACCAGCCTGACCAATATGGAGAAACCCTGTCTCTACTAAAAATACAACATTAGCCAGGCATGGTGGCGCATGCCTATAATCCCAGCTACTCGGGAGGCTGAGGCAGGAGAATTGCTTGAACCTAGGAGGCAGAGGTTGCGGTGAGGATGGATCGTGTCATCGCACTCCAGCCTGGGCAACAAGAGTGAAACTCCATCTCAAAAAAAAAAAAAAAAAAAAAAGATTGCATCACTTCACTCCAGCCTTGGCAACAAAACAACATCCTGTCTTAAAAATAAATTAATTAAATAAAATATCTCTAATCCTCTAAGAGATGTAAATAAAAATAATTTAATATATGATAAAAGCAGCATTTCTAATCACAAAAGGATAGATAATTAATAAATCAAGTTGGCACCATTGCTGACTACCTGGAAAAAAAAATGTGATTACTATATCGCGCCACACACCAAAATAAACCGAAACCAATTAAAGGGTTAAATATAAAAAATAAAACCACAAAATAAAATATGACCAAAAATTCGTTCTGGGGTTAGCACTTTCAAGCATGATGCAAAATGGATAGGACAAAAATTGATAAATCTGACCACATAAAAACAATACCCTGTATATCCAAAATACAAAGAAATGAAGACAAACAAGCTTTAAAAAAAGTATTTTTCAGTTATATATCAAGGGATAGATAGATCTAATAAAGATTTCTTACAAATGAGTAAGAAAAAAAGGTGAACTGAGAGAAAAATGGAAAATACAAAAAATACACCAAGAATTACAAAGGCCAATAAACATATCAAAACAATGTTCCATCTTTGTGGTAAACAAAGAAATGGAAACTGAAAGAATGAAGAATCAATTTTTACATCAAAGTGGAAAATCTATTTTTAATGCTACATTCAAGATTCACAAAGGTGCAGAGAAACAGTTTCTCACACACCAGTGCAAACGTAAGTTGGTACCATCTTTCTGGAGCTAATCTAGCAATATATATCAGGTGTGAAAGTTGTAGCTTAGTTATAGTTAGGATGCTGTGGTCAACATTTTGTGGATACAGGAATTCAGAACAGAATGCTCATTTTGTATATACACCATCTGTAGTGTACCTCAGAGTCATCAGTATGCCATAAAAAATGACTATATTCTGCCAGACACAGTGGCTCACACCTGTAATCCCAGCACTCTGGGAGGCCAAGGCAGGTGGATCACCTGAGGTCAGGAGTTCGAGATCAGCCTGCCCAACATGGCGAAACCACGTCCCTACTAAAAAATACAAAAAATTAGCCAGGCGCACTGGCAGGCGCCTGTAATCTCAGCTACTCAGGAGGCTGAGGCAGGAGAATTGCTTGAACCCAGGGGGCAGAGGCTATAGTGAGCCAAGATCACGCCCCTGCACTCTAGCTCGGGCGACAAGAGCAAAACTCCATCTCAAAAAAAAAAAAAAAAAAAGACTATATTCTTTGACCTAGTAATTCTACTAGAACTTTCTCAGAAAGTAACTTTCCAGAGAGAAGAGAAACAGAATTCTTCTGTTACTTGTAAAAATATCCCCTGAAATGTACACAGAAATAAAGTTTGTCTATTGGTGGACACTGAGGATTGGCAAATTATGATACTTCTACTTGGTGAAAATTATTTAGACATAAAGACAATTAAAAATGAAAACATATGATTATTGGGAAAAAATACTTATGCCATATGTTAAATACCCTATATAGTAAAATTTCAAGTATTAATATAATGTAAAATATATGTTTGTTAAAATATACATGTGACGTGCTTGTGTCCAGCTACTCAGGAGGCTGAGGTAGAAGGATCACTTGAACCTGGGAGGTAGAGGTTGCAATGAGCTGTGATAGCACCATTACACTCCAACCTGGGTGACAGAGTGAGACCCCGCTCAAAAATTAAAACTTAAAAATACATCTGAATAAGATCAAGAAGGAAAAATAATCATCACTGTGGTAAAATAATGAATTGTGAATAATTTTCCCAAATGCCCTCTATTATCTATATTTTGCTCTACTTTTGCTTAAAAAAAAAACCAAAACTAACAAATCTATAAGAATATATATCAAATTATTTATTGTGATCATTTCTGAAGAATAAAATTATGGTAAACTTTTGCCTTAAAGCCTATGTTTTTGTAATGTTTGAAAATTTTCCCATAGGAATAACTAACTTCTGTGATCAAAGAAAAAGTGAAAAAGCATAATCAGAGATGGCACAGAGATTTATGTACAAAGATCACACTATTACTACAATTGTTAAACAGGCAAATAAACATTGACAGACTACCAAAGATAGATTATGAAAGTATCAAAAATCACAATTTCAAAGAATATTCATGAGAAAATATAATGTTAAAACAGGAAGATACAAAACACTAAAACAAAAACAAGAAATATGCACACATATACTGGGACTAAGCACTCAATACACAGAAACTATTGTTAATAAACAGATAAAACACACACATTTTAAAAAGACATAAAGACAGCCTACACACTTATCTCTAGATCGGTTAATGGGTTACTTTAGTCCTTTATACTCTTCTATATATTTTACTTCTCCTTCAATAAACATATATTACTTTTATAGTTAGAAAAAGTTACTTTTTAAAAACCCAGAAACAAAAACAAAAGGCTATGGTATTGGCCTCCCATTCACAAGATGATAGTAGATTGGATTGGGAGTCAGGAAAGTTTGCTCTGCCAGTAGCCTATGTGAGTGGGCCTACATGACAGGCCATTTATCTGAAAAGGGTAACAACTTAGACAATATTTATGGGTCATTCCAGCTCTCATAATCCGTGAATCCTTGATGAGTTAATTCACATAAAGCATTCAAAAAGATATCTACTCGATGGCAGCACTCAACAGGGGTTAGATGCTATTATGGTTGATACTAAAACCTACAGAGAAAGAAAGACATCTTGGTGATGACCGCATCCTTCCAATCATGGATCATCTGAGCTGTCAGCAGTTTGTCAATGTCAAGGGTCAGCAAACACTTTCTGTAACAGGCCAGAAAGCAAATTTTTTTAGGTTTAATGGGTTAAATGGGATATATAGTCTCTGCCTCAACCATTCAACTTTGCCTTTGTAGTTTGAAATCAGAAATAGACAATATGTAAATTTGCCTGTGTTTTAATAAAACAGTTTTACCAAAAAAAAAAGTGGCAGACCAAATTTGGTCCATATTTGCTGACTCCTAGGTCTATAAGTTGCCCAGAAAGTAATGTACGGGTGCTTCTACAAATGCCTATTGTGGAATAATCTGGCTGTTACTGATTTTAAGATGTTAAAAAGATCCCTCTGCAGATCTGGGGAAAGATGAGTATTATGGTGAAAGATAAAAGGAAACAGGCTCTTAATAGCCCTATCCTGTTAACCTAATAGAGAGCTGGCTTCCTCCCTCTACCTTGTAAGGTTTTGCCCAGATGCCACCTCCTTACCCCTCAATAATTAGCTAAAGGAATCTAGGCGAGCTAGATGAAGTTTTTCAAGAATTTTAAACAATCCCTCCAATGAGACCACATTGAAATGTACTCCTCTCTGAAGCCCTTCTTGGTCTGCATGTCGGCACCATACAGTGCACTCAACCAAGCTGCGGCAGTACACTTTATCTCTTATGCAGCCTTGGGTCACTTAGTAATGTGATCTGGGACAAGTTTTCTATTGTCTTTGTAAGTTTTCTATTCTCTTTGTACCTCAGTTCCCTCACTTAAAAACTATACATAGGCCTGGCGCAGTGTTTCACGCCTGTGATCCCAGCACTTTGGGAGGCCAAGGCAGGCGATTCACCTGAGGTCAGGAGTTCGCGACCAGCCTGATCAACATGGTGAAACCCCGTTTCTACTAAAAATACAAAATTAGCTAGGTGTGGTGGCACATGCCTGTAATCCCAGCTACTCGAGAGGCTGAGGCAGGAGAATCGCTTGAACCCGGGAAGCAGAGGTTGTGGTGAGCCGAGATCGCGCTGTTGCACTCCAGCCTGAGTAACAAGAATGAAACTCCGTCTCAAAAAAACAAAAAACAAAACAAAACAAAAAAACAAAAACCCTACACATAATACGCTGTTGTGAAGATTAAATCAATTAGCACAAATGCTTCAAATAGTGCCTGGTATACAGTAAGTGCTAAATAAATGTAGTTTAAAATATTACCACCAAAATCTGCTTATGCACTTATCGTCCTACACAAGACTGGAAGCATGTTTACATTTGGCAGTCTCCGGCGTCACTCTTTTGTAGCCTCACTCCTGAATTCGGTGTAATGTTTGGCATGTAATGGATAGTAACCCTTCATTGGGAGGCATTAAGGTTTGCATACATGCTATCACATACAACTGTCAACTGGGCTTTGTGAAGAAGCAAGGAACAGACTTCTACACAGTACTTTAGAGATTTCTGTACCCTCCAGAATTGTAACTCAGGTCTCAAGACTCCAAACGAGCGCACTTTACACTATGTGCCGTCTCCTATAAAAACAGGCTCTAAACAAGTTTCGGAGCTACAGGATAGGCCGGGGAAAGAAACTGGTATCTGAACTGAGAATTCTGATCCCCAGGATCTCGTTTCCTGACATGGGTCCTAGGTCTTCATCATCCATCCATCCTTCACTCACTCATTCGTTCATTCACTCTGCCATTTTTCTAGGCATCTCCTCTGTGCTGGGCACTGTGCTGGGCCTTGGGGTCTGCAGTGCTGAGGCTGCAGGTTGGGCGGGCCGAGCCGCCAGGAGTGTCCCAGGTTCGGGCGGCACGCGTAGGCAGCAACTCAGGGGCTGACTTCCCAAATAACCCTCCAGCCCGCCGCCCCAGCCGTGGCTCACCGGTGTCCCCTCTTTTCCCTTCCCTGGGTCCCAACCCGCTCACTGTGAGATCCAGGGACTCCCCGCGGAGCGGCGCGGGCGCTCCCGGAGGTTCACGGGAGCCAGGACACCAGCCTTAACTTCTGAAACCGGAAGAGTGGTGGCGCAGCCGGTAGTGCGTCAGCAGCGGGCTCGCGCGGCCATTCTCTGATTCTCTAGGAAGCGGGAGGAACAGCTCTATGGGACCCTAGAAGAAGGCGTTCCCTCCAAGCCCAGCCTGTAACTCCAGCCTTGTTTCCCGTCAAGCCCAGTCGCTTTACTGATATCCCATTAACAACTATCTTGGCCTGAAACACAGTGGCTACCTCAACCCTCAGGAAAATTGTATAGGGAGACGTTGGGATGGAAAGGATGCTGGGTAGGAGCCGGAATGGGCCATCTCAACAAGAAACTAGTATATTCTATCTGCTTAAAATAAGTCTCTATTAAGAACCTTGAGTGATGCCCTGTTATGTTAGAATAAAGGACAAACTCCCAATCTAGGCCCACACAAACTGACCTCAATATCAACGTCTCTTGGTTGCCTATCATATACATTCTGTTCTAACGTTACTGAATTCCCATTGGCCCCCTGAAATCCCTTGCCTGTTCCTGACTCTAGATCTTTTCCCCAGGATTTTCCCTTTGGAATAATCTCCCTTCCTTCTAACTGCTCTCCCTAACCGCAGCTATCCAATTTATCCTGGTTCTTCAAATCCCAATGCCAATTCTCAATTGACCACCTAGACGGTTGCCCTTATGGGTCTTTACAGTCACATATCACTATTAATTATTCTAGCTCTAGCTAACCTTCTATTCAGTGCCCTGCTAAATGCATACACTTGTACTTCTTTCATAGGTATCGTTAGGAAGATACACACAAGTAGCATCCCACCCAAGGACAACTGTGAAAGACCCAATCAGTTCATCTTTATACAACTCTACTCAGCTATATGGAGCTATTACTTATCATTATATCTCAGTGTTTAGCACAATGATTGGTAGAGAAGGTATTCAATAAATAAATACTTGTTGAAATCATTAATCAGATACAGGTGAAATTTAGATTATTTGCATTTTTGATAAACTGAAAAATGAGGATGCCATAGATTAAATCCAGAAAGCAAGCTCTCTGCACATCTGAAAGGAAGTACCACCTAGCTGGCATATTCCCATTTCTTCAGCTCACTCTATCCAGTTGTTATCTCCCTTGGTAGAATGTAAGCTGTTTGAAGGCAGGGGCCTTTTGTGTTTTGTTCATACTGTATCTCTAGCACCTAGAGCACTGGCTGACATACTAGGCGTTCAATCAATATTTAATGAATGACTTAGTCACCATCAACTTCCAACAAGTTACAGGAAATAGTTATTCCATATAGATGTATATTGCTTGTTTGAGAGCTAAAACTGCTGGAAAATTATCTTTCTTCCCCCACATTACCTAAAATATGTACTCCAGAGATGAATATTGCTTCCCTGTGAGAAATAGAAACTCCTTCTAAATCATATTTACCTTACCCGCCAAAAGAGATTATATGAAGGTATTTTCCGGGGCAGGGGTAGTTTTGGGGGGAGAGGGGAGGGGAAACAGGTGAAGAAGGGGAGGCGGCAGGGAAGGTGATAGGGGCCTGGTGGGGGAATCTGGTGGAGCTGGGATCCCCAGGCTCCGTCCAGAGGAAGCAAGGCTGCGATCGCTGGGCAGTCCGAGGGCACAGGATGCACCGGAGGGTGGGCGGACTCGCCCTTTCCTGCTGGGCCACAGGTGTCCTGGATGAGGCCGCCCCACGCGCCCCCAACGATTTTATAATCAATGGATAAAGTGGGAAAAATGTGGAGTAACTTCAAATACAGGTGTCAGAATCTCTTCCTTCATGAGGGAGGAAGCCGTAGTGAAAATGTTGACATGAACTCCGACAGATGTCTGTCTGTCAAAGATGTCAAAGAGAAAAACATCAGCATAGGAGACTCAACTCTTCAGCAACAAAGCAGTCCCTCGAGAGAAAATGTTGCCTTACAACTGGGATTAAGCCCTTCAAAGAATTCTTCGCCGGGCATGGTGGCTCATGCCTGTAATCCCAGCACTTTGGGAGGCCAAGGCGGGCGGATCACGAGGTCAGGAGATTGAGACCATCCTGGCTAACACGGTGAAATCCCGTCTCTACTAAAAATACAAAAAAAAAAAAAAAAAATTAGCCAGGCGTAGCGGCGGGCGCCTGTAGTCCCAGCTACTCGGGAGGCTGAGGCAGGAGAATGGTGTGAACCCGGGAGGCGGAGCTTGCAGTGAGCTGAGACTGCGCCACTGCACTCCAGCCTGGGTGACAGAACGAGACTCCATCTCAAAAAAATTGTGTCATTATGAACACAAAGTTAGAGTTCGCTGGTTAGAATGAGAACCAGTCAAGGCAAAGTAAACGCTCCTGTACCCAAAGGGTGTTAACTAGGTCCGCTTTCATGTGCATCAGACAGTACACCTACAGCAAACACACGTAGCAGTGTTAGGTTTTATCATACAGTATGTAAGCTTAGTGTTAGTATCTGTCAGATGCGACCTGCTGTTATTTATTCAAATAAATATGGTGCCTATTGGAACAACAGAGGATAGAGCTACAGGTGTTCAGTAAGACTACAAAAACACTTTGATGATTTCTCTAACAGTTTGGTTTTTAATGGCTGTAGTATTTGAGTGAGGCAACTCTGGGACATTTGTTATGAAGAATTCTACTTCTTACTGAAGAACAAATTATTAATATTGGATGAGTATTTCAATAGTGTGACTAATGTTTGAAATTATTTTTTCTAAGAGATTTTCTATAATCTTCCAAAAGTAGTGATATTTGTAGTCACTATAAATCAAGTTTTGGAAGTCAAAAAAATAATAATAAAAGACTGCCTTCATTTTAGGAAAAAAAGCAGTTTTCTGGCCACAAGGGCATAGTGCAATTCATTTAGGTGTTGATGTAGTTTATAATCAGATGCCTTTTCTCTTCTGCAAAAGATACTGTTAAGTAAACCAGATTTTCTAAATAGTCATTCTTAAAATTTCAGACTTACAAAGCTCGTAGTAGAATTTTATTGGAAGACCCCAGGTTTTTTTCTTTTTTTAATGAGTGCTTTAACTTAAAACAGGCATTTGAAACATCTGCTGCAATGTAGTCTTGCATGTGATTTTTTAAAGTTGATGTGCAGTCTAATTGTTTCATAATTTTTTGATCTTTTCCTATATCCAGAATGATTTTGTGAACCACGAAGTATATGAGACTAAAAAATGCCCAAACAAGTCAGATAATAATAGCTACAATGGTTGCTGATGTTGAGATTATTGTTGAACTGTAATTAATAATTTGGATGGCAGTATTTATCTCTTTTTTGTACACTCCCATAGCTGAATTGCTTAAGTATAATTTATAGAATTTCAGTGCAGTTAATTCTTAATGGAAAATCAGAAACCTAAATTGCAGATTTAAAAAGTACTGTACAACCATTATATCTGTAAATACCTTAGCACTTTTTTATCACTTAGAATAATATGTACTACTATGTGAGTGAGCTCTTTTGGAAGTTATATCAAGTTCTAGTGTTTGTTTCTTAGTAACTGAACTGAATTTCCAGTTCTGTCCTAGACATTTTGCACTAAAGTAGCCAAATACATTCTTGTGCCTTTTTGTTATGGTGCTCAATACCACTGGTGAGCGCTCCATAGTTTCCTTACCTGCTGCTACAGAATGTTATTTTACATCCCTATGGCTATCGCCAAGGCTACAAAAAAGAAAAGCTATATTTGTATGCAAAAGCTATATTGTGTTGCATACAAATATAGCACACATTTGCATTTGCTTATCCATTTCTCCCTTTCTTTCTAACATTCCATCACCGTCTTACAGACAAGGGTAACAGGCTTATAGAGTTTGACTCAACCAGTGTTACATAGTTTGTACATTACAGAATCAGGTCAGAAAGCTAGAACTTTGAATTTCAAGCCTAGTGAAGGCTACAGCAGACAATGCTCTTTCCTTTTCATCATTTCAGTTGTCCTTGTCTAAATTTTCTCCTTTTTCCCCACACCATCTCTAAGGGAGTCAGAACTACATCCACGAATTTTAGATCCACTGGCCACCAGTTTAACAAGGATAATCATGGCAAGTACTGCAAGTAGCCCATAAAATATCTATTCTCCTCATCCTCCTTACTAACCAAACTGAATTTTGTTCAGAGTGGCACTGTGCCCAGATTTCTCAAGTTCTTTCTCAGCTAAAGCTGGCCACATGATACATCTCTAGCCTCTGGTTGATGGATTGGCAAACTGTGGGCCAAATCCAGCCCATTGCTTGTTTTTCAAAATAAAGTTTTACTGGAACACAACTATGCTCATTCATTTATTTTCTGTCTATTGCTACTTCCACACAACAATGGCGAAATTAAGTAGTTGTGACAGAAATCATATGACTCTCAAAACCTAAAATAATCACTAGCCTTCTGTTAAGGACCAACCCCTGCTGCAGTGAAATCCAAGTTTTGGTAGCTCAGTTGCCCTCCCAAAGCATACTACAGGACACACTCACTGCATAGAAATATATGTTAGTTCCTATGCATGGTCCTTCTAATGGTAACTTAGTCTCCCTTCTTAAATAAAGAAGCAACATAAAGTTTGGTGTAGAGTATATTTAGTGGAATTATTAGTTGCCAAATTCAACATGCATTTTCTCCCCTTTTTCTTCCTGTCAAAACCCCATTTTGTTTAGTTATCTACCCTTCCTCCATGCAGCCATGGTCATCATGGAAACATAATCCCAACTCCAAAGGGCTCTCTTGATTCACTTAAGAGTAATGAAATTCCCCTTGCCTGTGACTGCCTCAGAAATGGTCATATATCAGTTTGCTTTTGCCTCTTAACAAACCACTCCTAAACTTAGTGGCTTAAAATAACAAACATTTATTACTTCTCATAATTCTGTGGGTCATCTAAGTGGTTTTCATATCTGGGCTGGCTCAGAGTGGGTTGTTTAGGACAGCACGGCCTCATTCTTATGTCCTGTTGCTGGAAGGCTGGTTGGTGAGGGTTGGGGTGGGGGTGGTGTGCTCAGCTGGGATGGCTTGTTTCTGCTCCACATGGTCACTCTTCCTCCCTCAATCACAGGCTTCTTAACATGGTAACCTCAGAGTTCCACAGAGCAGCAGAAGATGGCAAGCCCCAATGTACAAACACTTTTTAAGTCTCCGCTTACAACAAATTTGCTAATGTTTCACTGGGAAAAACAATTCACATGCTGAGACCATGTTCAAGGGGTAGAGAAATAGACTCCACCACTTAATGGGAAGAGCTGCAGGCAACATTCCAGAGAGATGGGGGAAGAATGTATAGCTGTTTTTGTAATCTGTCCAGGACGTATGACCCATTTTGGGCAAGATAGAGAGAAAGGAGGTATCTGAAAAGAATTATTTCGCATTCTGAGCAAGCATCCAGAAACAGTTCTCTCTTGTAGGGGACAAAGTTGTGAGTGGCTATCAGAGACATAACACTATAATCAGGTTGCTGTCTGCCTGGGGATGAAGCCAATACCTAGAGGAGGGCAGAGCAAGAAATTCACAGTGAAACAGAGCCAGAGTTACTGGTCTTAGCTAACCCTGAAGCCCACCCTCCTTGGTTGTTCAGTAACCCATACCAAAACATTTCCTTTTTCATTAGGCCATTTTAAGTTGGGCTTTTCATTTTTCAAAGATAGTATTCTCTAAACTTTCCACTTTCAATAGCACTTGCCTAGGACTTTTTTTTTTTCTTAAGAGACAGAGTCTTGCTCTGTCACCTAGGCTGGAATGCAGTGGCACAATCATAGCTTACTGCAGCCTCCAGCTCCTGGGCTCAAGGAATCCTCCTGCCTCAGCCTCCTGAGTAGCTGAGACTGCAGGCACGTGCCACCACACCCAGTTAATTAAAAAAAAAATTTTAATAGAGGTGGGATCTCTCTATGTTGCCCAGGCTGGTCTCCAACCCCTGGCCTTAAGCAATTCCTGGCTCTTGATGAGTTGACAGATGTTACTGATATTGCTCTA